CTGGAGAATTTTCGATAAATATTTGCAAATTTGTTTTTGTTGGCGTCGAAATTAGCTTTTTATATGAGGTATTTAGGGGGTGTATTGAAATAAATTATGGGTTGGATCCAAGGAAAGGGTTCTTTTCATTTAAATTACTTTTAAAGGCTAGGCCACTGAAGTTGGAGAATTTAAATATATCCTACAAAATAGTAATAAAAGGGTTTCCATTTGGTAATCCAAATCTATACAAATTCATCCATATACGTGGCAACAATTTCTGTTCGAGGATTTTGATAATTGGGTACAAACGTTATAGAATATAGGGCTAGTAAATGTCTCATCTTCGTTTGCGTAATGTTTTAATAAAGTTGTAAACAAGTATAGTATCTTTTTTTAAAATTTTGTGATATGTTGTTGCAAAACCGTCAGGCAAAATCCCATTATTGTTGTTTTTATAAAAACAACGTTTGTTTATGAGTGGAGAACGATGGTAATGTTTACCAGGGGGTTAGGCAGGGAATACCTAGGTTTCGGAAAGAGCCACCAATCCTCATCAGTTCCCTTGTTTCTTGCCTGGGATATTCTCCCCAGAAGTTATTTTAAAAAAATAGAAGAGGAACAAAAGAATTATATAAAACTAAAATTCTTTTGGAAAATCTTCTAAATCTTACAACCGCACTTATAAACATTTACATCTTTCTCCACTTTGTTATGCTTTCGTTCAACCTGAACGAAGTAACATAACCATGTAAGTTTGTTTTGTCTGTTACAACAAAAACCCCTTCGTCGACCGTGCCTGTGTCTATTAATAGAACAGAGTTTGGCTTGCTTGTTTGGGATACCATAGTATTTTGTTGTTGCAAAATCGTCAGGCGAAATCCCATTATTGTTGTTTTTATAAAAACAACGTTTGTTTATGAGTGGAGAACGATGGTATAAAAAATTGGTTGTAAAAAGTAACGCTTTTAGCATATTACTTCTTAACAGTGTTCTTCTATGCTTTCAAGTGCTCTTGGATGTTATTTTCGAAGTGCATGGCAATATTTTAATATATTACTGGATATGGGGATTTTTATCAGAAAATTGAAAGAAAGCCGAAGAAACATTCATTAAAACATTACGAGATATTTCAGCATTTTTGGTTTTGTCTTTATATACAGGGTGAGATAGAAAAAACTGCAACAAAGTCAAAAGCCATAATTTTTACATTTTTATACCCTCCACCATAGTATGGAGGGTATATTAAGTTTGTCATTCCATTTGTAACACCTCGAAATATACATTTTAGACCCCACAAAGTATCAGCATAAATTTCTATCCATTATAACAATGTCCGTCCGTCTAATCGCTCTAGCTTCCGAACGAAATGAAGTAAGTTGATAAAAATTTACTAACAAATGTATTATGTCTGCTGAATTTTGGCATTGAAAATGGGCCATGTAGGATTTCGAATAGCCCCCATATAACGATACCTCCCGATATGCGGTATTTTGATGATTTTAGCGACATTATTTAACGGAATTGTTTCAAAATTGTTATTTGAAGTTTTTGAAGGTCCACGTCTTCGTATAGCCCCCATATAACGGTACCCCCATATTTTCGACATTATTTACCGGAACTATTTTAAATTTAGTATTTGAAGTTCGTAACGAATACTACACCCTACGACAGAAAATTGTCAGTGCAGGTCCAAGTCTTCATATAGCCCCCATATAACGGTACCCCCTGACATTCGGTATTTTGATGATTTTAGCGACATTATTTACCAGAGCTATTTTTAATCTTATATTTGAAATTCGTAATGAATTCTACAGGACCACGTCTTCGTATAGCCCCCATATAACGGTACCCACCGTTATTCGGTATTTTGAATGATTTTAGCGACATTATTTACCGGAATTGTTTCAAATTTCGACTTTGAATTTCATAATGGATATTATAGCATGTGACAGAAAATTGTCCGTGCAGGTCCACGTCTTCGTATAGCCCCCATATAACCCCCTATGCCAGAAAATTGTCTGTGCAGGATTATGACAAGAGTTGCGTATGCAGGTCCACGTCGTCGTAAATACCCTAATATACGGCTAAATTCGGTATTTTTAAAATGTTTAACAGAATTTTTAATGGATTTAAATGTTTTGAAAATTGTCAAATTTGTACCAAATGGTGGAGGGTATTCAAAATTTACTTGTTTTTTTTTTTACTTGTTTTTTTTTTTTAATTTTATTGAATGAAAGCAAAAAATGTCGGAAATAGCATCCTATTTTAGAATAAGTGTAGATTTGTTCGAATTGGTCACCTTTGGCACGATTTATGGCCTTCAAACGGCCAATAAAACCATCAGACGCTGTCCGCATGTTGCTCAGCGGTATTTTGGTCCATTCCTGGTGAAGCGCTTGCTTGAGGTGATCGACACTTTGGTATTTTTTAGTTCCAACCATGCTTTCCAAATACTCCAGACACAATAAATTTTTATTGATGCCACGAGCGGAGAGCGACCATCGACTGTTATGGCGGCCCACACTATCACCATGGCGGGCGATTGAATTCTGGTGGCCAATTTAAAGTACACATTCTCAGCTGACCTCTGTGGCAAGTAAACACGATTATTTTGTTTGTTTACAAACTGTTAGACAACGAATGTTTTCTCATTGGAGAAAACCAAATTCGGCAGTTCACCACTTTCGGCCAAGCGAAGCAACTCTTTAGCTCTTTTGAGTCTATTTTCTTTCTGTTGCGGAGTAAGTTCTTGCACTTTTTGGAATTTCAATGGCTTTAGCCCGAGCTCATTTTTCAATATTTACCGAATGGAATATGTTCAGCTCACGAGCTATTTTTGTGCCACTGCGACATGAGTTTCGATCAAGTCGCTTCTTTACTTTCGAACTATTTCTGCTGATGTTGCTGTTTTCTTCGGCCCACTTCCTTGACGTCCGGCTACGGTACCAGTATCACGGTAACGAGCGATGGTACGAGACACAAAAGATTTATTCGCGTTTAAATGCTGGAGTGCTCTAACGATAGCCAATTCCGGTTTTCCAGCCAAATTTAAAGAAATCAAACTATAACCCTTGAATTCTATCACGAATAACTTTTTTTTTGGAATATTCTCACCAAAATTCTTATGTACGCTTGTAAACAATATAAACAGTTGTCATTGGAATAATTTTAACAGCTGTCGGACGAGTAGCTTGGAATTGCCAGCAGTCTGAAGTTGGATCAGGATCAGCGTAAAATTCTAAATCCATTTAACGATGTCCGTCTGTGTGTCTGTATGTGATAATCACGCAATCTTTTGAACGAAATTGAGATAGAAGGCTAAACTTTTGCACACGAGTGTATTTTGACAGCGGGCAGGTTATATTCGTAATTGGATCAGTCGGGTGGGTAAACAGTTGAACCTGTTCCAGCCCCTTTTCAACTATCTTTCTAACTAATAATAGAGTTAATGCATGAGGTCATAATCAGAAACTTATATTATTTATTCGTGGGAATGCTATACCAGGAGCTCCTAACATTAAAGGAACTAATTCCTTTCCAAATCCAGAATTGTTTCATATTTCCTATTTGAAGATCGTAATGGGTACTACAGCAGGTACACAGGTCTTCGTATAGTCCCCATATAACGATTTTCATTTAAGATATACTTCTCGGAATTTTGTGAAATTATTCAAGTTCCTTCCAAATGGAATTAAATTTCGGTGCGACGAAACTTAGCTGCGTTTTTACTTTGTCTTTATACATACGTTTAACATTTGGTTATATCAATATTATGGACAACTTGCTTCATAGAGAAGTATTTTATTAATTTTTCAGAATTTTCAATTTACGACTGATATTGGTACAAACATATTTGACGGATAAATTATAGTATATCTCTTTCATGTTTATATATTATACATGTATGCATTAGCCTAATTTAATCATCGACATTTACAAATCACACACATAAATAGCTGTATCAGCCATTCTCCTTCCCAAAAAAAAGCAATAAAAATTAAATTATCTCCCACACAGCCATCACCTTCTATCGATTTCATAATTTATCAATTTTGTCATTATATTTCTGCACTTTACAACGAAAATATTTCAAAATTTCAATTGGGCATTAAATAACAAAGATTAATGACGATATTTGAGACTAAAATAAATAATAACCGACTGATTGACCTTTTGTGTGTTTGAAGTGCAAATTGGCACTTAAGTGCAATAGAAAATGATTATTGGCAAATAGGATTAATGAAATGGATACTCCTGTTGTTGCCGGGCACTAAAACTCACACTCACGCGGCTCTCCAACCCTTTTGTATTCATTTCATCCAATACAATTTATTGATTAAACTGGGCCCAGTGTAAACATGGCTGTTGTGTAAAGAGCAAACCGAAACAACAGCAAAAAATGCAACGAAGAAATAAACGTTTGCTGTTTTTTTTGCTTTATCTTGGCATTTTTTGATTTTTTTTTTGTGTAACGAAATCTTCGAGAAAGATATTAATTATTATTCATAAATATTTACATAGCCATACAAGAGATAAACGATTGAATTTCGAACAAACACCCACCCCTTGGCCCCGTCGCATTAATGCAATTATGAGACGGACCAAAGAAATTTCCCGAGATAAGGAATAAATAAACGACGGCTCGATGGAGAATATAAACTTGTTAAACGTCTGTTAACACTTAATTGGCTTTTTTGTGCCGCGAATAACCCAACATGCAAAGCACAAATATTTGCAAATACTTTCGTATTTAAGATGAGCTGTTTCTTTTGTTCTCTGGGCCTCTCGATTAACGATAAACAATAACAATTACAAGACATTGAACACCGCGGCAGGCTGGCCATAATTTGCCATGCAAGTTTAATGAACCAATAACGAGTTCTAGGAAATCGTCAGCGAAGAAGGCCGCCTTGCGTACCTTTAAAGCAACCCAGCTACATTGAAGATGAATGTCTGGGATTCTTTAAATTTTAATTGTTGTTCTCCTTCTCTCCACCTTCGCTGGCCCTCTAACTTACCTTGTGAAATGCTTTGCGAAAATTATCCGACAAAAAGGCATAGAGCACGGGATTGATGCAGGAACTGGTATAGGCCAAGGTTTGAGCGATGATTTGCAATATCACCGTCAGCTTGGTTGTCGTTTGATAGATGTCCAGCGCCTTTAAGAGTAAAATTAACTAAAAGGAAGAGAGAGAAAAATATGAAATGAAAATTAGATGAATATTTAATTGTTAATTATTTTGAAGATGAAAAATATGGGAGGACTATTATTATAACCCAAACAAGCTAATTTAAAAGACATTTTCTGGATTTCCAGGAACAATGACTATGTCGATAATCCTTCTCCGTTCTTATTTGCAAAGGTAGCAATGTTTTTTTTTTATTTTCAGACAACAAATTTAACAGAAATTTAATGCAAAGGAATTGGAGATAACAAAAATGGCTACTTTTTCTATTTTTTGTAGACTCCACCGCACTATGGAGGTTTCCGTCTGTGGAAATCATTCAACCTTCCGAAGTAGGTTGTTAAAATTTTTTGTGATGCGTTTAGGTTAGGTTTGCGTTGAAAATGGGCTTTGTAGATCCACAAATTGATTTATCCCACATATAACTGTACCGCCAGATTTGAGGTGTTTTAGCTGTTTTAATCATATTTTTGAACTGAATTTGCGGTAAATTAGCAGTTTGTGTGCCATATAAGTGAAAACATCCATGTCTGTATAGATTCAAGTTTAGGTATAGTCTTCATATATATTTACATCTGATATTCCGGATTTTTATGATTTGTGTCACATGTTCACTGGAGTTGTATCAGATTTGGTATTTGAAGATCGTAATGAACACAACCTCCATTGACAGAAAATTATTTACACAGGTCCATGCTTTATTATAACTCCCATATAACAACACCTCCCTATATTCGGTATTTTGATGATCTTAGCTATTGCAAATTTGGAGTTCGTAATAGGCACTACCCTCACTGGCAGATAATTGGCTATAGAGGTATACCTTTTTCTTATAACCTCATATAACTGCAAATCTGATATTCTGAGTTTTTAAAATGTAAGCGGCATTTTGTACAGTCTTATATTACATCTCGCAGGTTCTTTCCAAATGACGGAATACATTAAATTGGCTGCCCAAAATGGTTTCGAAGTGCATTTTCGTATGCGTCCCTAACTACTTCAGATGCTCACTTCGCTACCTAAAAAATATATAAAAGTGTTTTGAAAAGTTGGAATATTTGTGGACGAGGTGACAGAAGATGTAGACTGACTTCTCCTAAATTTACAATAAATAATATAAGCAGAAATGTACAGATGTATGAAGTTTGAAGTATACTAAGCACTGATTTCACATTTTTTTTAAAGATATTAGCCTAAATTTTGAACCTTTAAGGAAAAGGTGTGAGAAGATTTGAATGGACATTGTAATTTTTTGCAGAGGATATAAAGGCGATTCAAACATTACGGTTTGTAAAGTTTGAACTAAATCGTACACTTAACTCGGTAAATGTGAATTATTATTTTTCCAAATATTGTCAGTTTCCTAAGGAGATATTAGAAGAACTTGACCAATGTTTTATATTAATATTGAAATATTGAACCTTTGTGGTGGAGATACCAAATGGAGTGGTCAAATGTTGTCAATTTCCGCACTTGATTTAGTATTGATACCCGATATTCGCAATTTTGACGATTTTAGCCACTTTAATTTAATGATTTAAGACTTGGCATAATATTGTTCATATAGGTTCACGTTTTTCTATAGCCTCCATATAAAGGTATCTATCGATATTCAATATTTTGACGATTTTAGTCACACTTTCTAAAGGAATAGTTTAAAATTGGGTATTTGGAGATCATAATATGTTCTAGCTTCTGTGTCCGAATACTGTCTGTGTAGGCCCACATTTTCCTACCGCCCACATATAGCGAAATAGCTTCAAATTATTTAGGTTTCATTTTGGATTCCATATCCTGCAATAGAACGCTATGTATGTACTTTCCGATATTCGGTATTTTGACGATTTAAGCTAGATTTTCTAACGGAATTACTTAAAATTCATTTTATGGATTTTCGTATAACAACCACTATCCTCTCAATATACGGTATTTTGATCACTGAAGCCAATTTTTTCAGAATTGTTTAAAATTTTGATTAAATATTCCAAAAACAGAAGACACGCATATCACTGGAATACTGGCATTTCGGTATTTAAAGACAAATTTTTTTACATGAGTTACTTTCGAAATTGTAGAGGGTATAAAAAGTTCGTCCCGGCCGAAATTATGTGATTTTTACTTGTTTAAATAATTGGTATTCAATAGTCCATGTGTTGCCGTGATACGAACTTATAAAGGTGGAATTCGGAAATTTATAATTTCGATCCATATGCTCTCACGGCGTTAAACACTTTATTGCTAAAAATTGCTCCCATTGTCCGATTTGATATAAACTTCGAAATTTTAAACGAGAGGATGTTTTTTGTTTTTAGTATTTATTTAGTACACTTCAGGATAGTATTTAGAAATGGTTTTTTACTTTTATTAAAAACCAATTAACAACACTTAGTATAATTTTCCCATCATTCTCGTTATCTCGATATTTAAAGGACATCCTATTTTGTTTGTTGTGGGCCCAATTTTCGTGGCATCATTATTCATACTATAGCTTATGACAAAAAGTCCAGGTCCACGTCTTCGTATAGTCCCCATATAACGATACCTCCCGATATTCGCTGTTTGGATTATTTTAGCGACATTTTTTACTGGTACTGTTTGAAATTTCGTATTTTAAGTTCGGAAGCCGTACTACAGCCTATGAAAAAAATATTTATGCAGATCCACTAATGGTTTTCATTTAGACGGTATATTTCGACTGTTTTTTTTTTTGTTTTTGAAACATTTTTAAGTTCTTTCCAAATGGTGTGGGGAATAAAAAATTCGGACAAGCCGAACTTAGCAGTTTTTTACTTGTTTTTCTTTCAGTCCATCTATGCATTTTTACTTTTCTAGAATCGTACGTTTCAAAACTAGTATTTTTAAAAGATCTCTTTGATAATAAAATAATTAGATTATTCCAATTGCAATTCGAATGACAATATTTGAGTTTCGAATAATGCCATTTCTAATTTGAATTATTCTAATTGTAATTCGAATCGCTCCATTTGTAATTCAAATTATTTCAATTTTTTTCATCAAAATTTTAATGTAACAATTCGAATTACAATTGGAATAATTCGAATTACAAATGGAATTGTCGAATTTCAACTGAAATAATTTGAATTACAATTTATATTTTCGAATTACAATCTGATTAATTCGAAATACTAATAGCATTCTCAAATTACCATTAAAATATGTCGAATTACATCAGAAAAAGGTGTACATAGTCCATAATTCATTACAGTGTCTAATCGTATGAGTGATTTCATATATTCAATATCACTCATACGCAGTGTTTTTATGCAAACGACCGGAGTCCACGAAACTAGGAACGAAATTGTAGACAGGTCTTCTTTTGCAAAATCAGGACTATAGCTAAATCCGATATACACTTAAACTTGAGCCGATATATCCTGTTTCTTATATCAACAATACAAAATGTGTTGCTAATTTTCACAGCTTTACAATTTTGAAAAATTTCTAATGTCTGCATGTACCGTGCTACGGAATCTACGCATGGCGTAGTTATAAATATTTTGAAGAACTGAAATTGCAGGTATTTTCATAATTGCATAATACTTTCCACCATTTGGAAAAAACTTGAAAAATTGCGAAAATTCCGAAAATATAAATAAGTACGTAATTTGAAACAATTCAGATGAATACTGTCGCTAATATCACACAAATGCCAATTACACGAAGGTACCGACAATATTCTGCCTTAGATTAAAAAAAAATTAATAATTCCGGTCTGTAAAGTCTCTAAAATCAAAATACACATGTCTGCAAAATAAAAGCCTTCTATCCCAATTCGTTCGAAAGATAGTGTGATTACAACAGACGAATTGACGGACAGGCGGACATTTCGATCCACTTAGAATTTTACGCCGATCAAGAATATATGTACTTTGTTGGATCTGATTAGGGTATTTGCAAATGGAAGAATGAGAGTCTGCATGCTTTTCTTACATTATTTCCCATCACTTTAAACATGACGAGTACAGAAAATGAACAAAGTGCTTTTATTTCACAAAATACCACACCTCTTAATTTTATGAAAAAAAAAAAAAAAAAAACACCAGGATTACATTTCGTTGAATGCGACATGGATCCGACCAAACACCGCATTAACAAAATGAAATCTGTGGAAAGCATAATAACGACAGCTACAACAACAATAACAACCGACACAAATACTCGGTTCAAGCTTAAGTTCTAAATAGCTTCGGTGCTGCTTTATGGTTTGCTCGATGGCGTTTGATGTTGCTGCATTGCATTTCGCTGTAATCTGCTCATGTCGAATGTCGACGTCTATCGACAGCTATCGATGGACTTACTCACCTGTACGGGTAGCCATAATGAGGCAAATGCTATCACAACAACAACAACCAGACGTGTTACACGTTTCCGTCCGCGCTGTGATTCCATGGACATTCGAACCGAGGTACCATGTCGCCATAGACTTGTAATCATCCTCATGTAGAGACCGCTAATGACCATTAGCGGCAGCAGATACGAGCTGGCAAAGAATATCATCTGATAGACGGACAGTGATAGGAAATTGTTTTGCATAAACTGACACATTTCCAGGCTGTAGTTTGATCCCTCGATGCGCTGCACAAAAAAGTGAAAAAAAAACACAAATTGAGAATTAAAATTAGTGTATGTGAGTGTGTGTGCGATATATGAAATTGTGTTTGGATCGAAAAGGTGGTTTAGTAAAATACAAGAATTAAATGGAGAATCTTGTTATCTAAGGTATACATACAAGGTGAGATAAAAAACTGCAACAAAGTCAAGGGCAATAATTTTTACATTTTTTTTTTTACATTTTATTGAATCAAAGCAAAAAATGTCGTAAATAGCTTCAAATTTTAGAATAAGTTTAGATTTGTTCGAATTGGTCACCTTTGGCACGAATTGTGACCTTAAAAAGGAGAATGAAACCGACACACGCTGCCCGAATGTAGCGGTATTTTGGCCCATTCCCGCAGAAGCGCTTGCTTCAGGTGATCTACACTTTGATATTTTTTAGTGCCAACCTTGTTTTCCAAAATACATACTCCAGACAAAATAGTCCAACGGATTGGTATCCGGAGATTTTGGTCCGCTGAAAGTGAAGCGAGGAACCTCATTTTTAACCATTCTTGGGTGGCGCGTGCTGACTGCCATGGTGCTGAGTCCTGTTGGAATGTCCAAGGTCTGCGGCCAAACTGTTTGCGTGCCCAAGGCTTTAATACACCCTCCAGAATATTTTCGCGATAATATTCGGCATTTATTCTGATGCCACGGTCGATAAATGCGAGCGGAGAGCGACTATCGGCTGTCATGGCGGCCTACACCATCACCATGACCGACGCTTGAGTTCTGGTGGCCAACCGAAGGTGTACATTTTCAGCTGACCTCTTTGGCAAGTAAACATGATCTTTTTTTTTTTTTTGTTTACAAACTGCTGGATAACGAATGTTTTCTCATCAGAGAAACCCAAATTCGACAGTTCACCACTTCCGGTCAAACGAAGCTACCCTTTAGCTCTTTTGAATCTATTTTCTTTCTGTTGCGGTGTAAGTTCTTGCACTTTTTGGAATTTCAACGGCTTTACCCGAGCTCATTTTTCAATATTTGCAGAATTCATTTTCATTGCCATATGTTCAACTCACGATCCATTTTTCGGCCACTGCGACGCGTGTTTCTATCAAGTTGCATCTTTACATTTCGAATCATTTTTGCTGCTGTTGCTGTTTTCTTCAGTCCACTTCCTTGACGTTGGGCTACGTATCACGGTAACGAGCGATGGTACGAGACACAAAAGATTTGTTCACATTGAAAATGCTGGAGTGCTCTCACGATAGCCACATGTGGTTTTCAAGCCAAATATAAAGAAATCAAACTATCACGCTTGAATTCCATCACGAATAACTTTTTTTCTGGAAAATTCTCACCAAAATGCTTTTGTGCGCTTGCAAACAATATAATATGCTGTCACTGGAACAATGTTAATAGCTGTCGAACTTAGAAATGACAGCAGTCTGAAGTAGGTTGCAGTTTTTTATCTCATCCTGTATGTATGTGTATGCGATGTATCATAAGAATTCATTTGAAATTATTTTCAAATCGGATCCATATAACATACGCCGAACGCTAATAAATTACATAAAAATATGTTTATAATTCAAAATGATAAATAAAATTTCGAATATGTGGGGCCATGTTTCTAAAATATAAACTCTTATTTTCAGCATCACAAAATATTCGCCTATATTTATGTTCATGTATCCGAAACATTCCAATGAACTAACAATTAGACAAACTTATTCGATCTGATCGAATCGAGTGGTGTTAGTTGTGCGCTAAAAGCTATAAATAAAATAACAACAACGAAAGTTAAAAATACGATATTATTTATTGTTAACAAATTCACGAACGCGTTAAATTGCAAACAATCAAAATAAAATATTCGAGAGCGAGAGTACATTAGGCCACATCAGCTGAATTTATTGGCATAGGTTTGGAATTCATTAATCATAATTGAAATCTTTGTATATAAACGAGTATTGAAATAAGTGACTGCCTGACCGATAATCAAAGACAAGACAAAACGGCTGCAGATAGAATCTTGAAATTCTGCACGAGGATCTGTCTTGTTGCTTAGGCTGAGTTTTTCAAAATTCGCACTAAAAAGGGTTCTAAAAGTATTAAATGTGCAAAAAAAAGTGATTACTTTGTATTGGACAAACGAATTGAGTTAGAATTCTGAAATTTGGAATGAGCGCCACTGATGGAGTTCAGGGTAGATGTAATAAAGGGTTTTGGGAAATTCGTAGTAAAAGGGCACGAAAAGTACTAAAATGTGCTATAAATTTAATACCTTGTATTGGACAAACGGAATGAGCTAGTACTGTGACATTTGGAATAAGATTTACTAATAAATTGCGGGATAGATGCACCAAAGGATTTTTTTGAAATTCGAACTTTAAAGTTACGAAAAATTCTAAAATGGCACCATTTGGTATTATGTAAACAGTTAGAGCTAAAAACTTGCAATCTTATAATGAGAATCAAGGTTAGAAAGTAGGTTTTTGTTCCAAAGCACTTTCATATAGGTTTTGCATATATGTGTACTAAGTACGAACTGTACTAAGTGGAACTGTTTGGTTTAAGACGAAAGGAAGAAACTACAATTTTTACATTTTGTATTATAGTTCCTGTCGGCAGCAGCTTTTTGATAAAGAGGTGGAAATGTGAACTACAAGTATACGAAAAGTACTAAATAGTACTATATTTTTGGTACAATTCGGTATTGGGTGAACTGAATTGAAATTTGACATTTAATATAAGAGTCGCTGTTCATATGTTCCCTGTTTTCGGAAATGTGTATCATAATTGTACGACAATACTGAATAGTATATACAGGGTGAGATGAAAAAACTGCAGTCAAATTCAGATTATTTGGCTGAAAAACCAGAAGTGGCTATCGTTAGAACACTCCAGCATTTAAATGTGAATAAATATTTTGTGTCTTGTACCATCGCTCGTTACCGTGATACTGGTAGCGTAGCCCGAAGTGGACGGATGAAAATAGCAACATCAGCAGAAATGGTTCGAAAAGTAAAGAAGCGACTTGATCGTAACCCGCGTCGCAATGGCCGAAAAAGGTCTGGTGAGCTGAACATATCGCAATATTCCAGTCGGCAAATATAGAAAAATCAGCTCGGGGTAGAGTTATTAAAATTCAAAAAGTGCAAGAAAATAGACTCAAAAGAGCTAAAGAGTTGCTTCGCTTGGCCGAAAGTGGTGAACAGCCGAATTTGGTTTTCTCCGATGAGAAAACATTCGTTGTCCAGCAGTTTGTCAACAAACAAAATGATTGTGTTTACTTGCCAACGAGGTCAACTGAAAATGTGAACCTTCGGTTGGTCACCAGAACTCAAGCATCGGCCATGGTGATGGTGTGGGCCGCCAAAAAACAGCCGATGGTCGCTCTCCGCTCGTATAAATCGACCGTGGCATCAGAATAAATGCCGAATATTATGGCGCAAATATTCTGTAGGGTGTATTAAAGTCTTGGGCATGCAAACATTTTGCACTCAGCACCATCAGTACGCCACCCAAGAATGGTTACAAAATGAGGTTCCTCGCTTCATTTCCAGCGTACAATGACAACCAAAATCTACGGATACCAATCCGTTGGACTATTGTGTCTGGAGTATTTTGAAAAGCAAGGTTGGCACTAAAAATACCAAAGTGCCGATCACCTCAAGCAAGCGCTTCGCCGAGAATGGGTCAAAATACCGCAGAGCAACATTCGGGCAGTGTGTGACGGTTTCATTGGCCGTTTAAAGACCATAATTCGTGCCAAAGGTGACCAATGCGAACAAATCTAAACTTAATCTAAAATTTTATTCTATTTCCGACATTTTTAGCTTTCATTGAATAAAATTAAAAAAAAAAAATTAAAAAGTGGCATTTGATTTTGTTGCAGTCTTTTTTTGTCTCACCCTGTAGTATAACTGTACAAAAAGTTTGATAATAAATTTGAGATTGGATCTTAGCACAGAGCTGGAATTGGAATTATATAATAATTGTTAAGGTCAAAATGTGCCGCCTTCGAAACAATGGTTTTGGACCCAAGGTTTTGTTTTATATCCTCCATAGAATGGAATGTATATTATCTTTGTCATTCCGTTTGTAACTCCTCTCCTCTCTTCTATCTTTCCAATGAATCGAGATAGTGGACTAAAGTTGTGAAAACGAGTGTAGGCAGGTTAAGTTCGTTAATGGCCATGTCGGTCCACGTCTACATATATTACGGTACCTCCCTTAATTCGGTATTCCTGCGACGTAATCTGCATGAATTGCGACGTAATCTGCATGAATTGTTTAAAATTTCATATTTAAAGTTCGTAATGGGTACTGACAAACAAAGTTGCCTGGTCCATTTCTTCATATAGCCCCCATATAACGGTACCTTCATATATTCGGTATTTTGATGCATTTAGCCACCGGATTTGTTCCAAGTTTTGTATTTGAAGTTCTCTATCGGTACTACAGCCTATGGCAGAAGATTACTTATGTAGGTTCACGTCTTCTCCCATATAACGGTTTCATTTAAGCAGTATTTTTCGATGGATGTTTTTGAAAATGTTTAAGTGCCTTCCAAATGGTGGAGGGTATCAACAGTTCGGCCCGGCTTAACTTAGCTGCTGTTTACTTGTTTGGAATAAATTTGTTTTTGGGCATTTGGAGCCGAACTATTAATGTTCGTCCGTCTGATGGTATGATAAGTATCCAATTTAGGTCAAATATAGCAAATTGTAATAGTTGACAATATAGGCCCTGGGAAAAAATGTTCCTGGTCTCAAAACTAAAAAAAATCGATCGTCGTGAAGCACTTTCGACATGTGTGTTAAGGCTTATGTAACTCAGTAAGTCAAGCCGACCGATCATCAACAACGTATCTTTGCGAATTTTATCTATTCTGTCATACTTACGGAAGCATTGTTCTATTCCTATATTCAAATTTCTAATTTTAACCTCTGTTTATAGTATCTTAACCTAATCGATCTAATGTGAATCGATATTGTATATTTGCATATACCCAACATTTGGTGCTT